TAAGGTTAAAGCCGAGGATACTCTGTTTGTGTGTGAACTTTTGAAAGTTGGCCTTCGGTAATCTCAGATTACTGGCCATCACGGCACCATCCTACTAGGGGCGGTTTGGGGTCGTGACAGAATGGTATCAGAGCACAAGTTCCTTAGTATACGTTATTCACACACTTTGAGTCCTAAAGAGCATAGGATTTCCCCTTAGAAGGATGTTAGGATTGCATCATATTGCTTGCTATGTGGACAAGGTGTGCATCGTCTCGGCATGCTAAATTGTTACTGCTTGCGTGTTTATTTGTTTATTTTGTTTTAAAGTCATACTTTGCATACTCATAGTATCATGAGGAGAGGTAGACCTCCAGTTGGTCGAGATCAGTCCGAGGACAGATTGGACAGACTGGAAAGGTTAGTTGAAGGTTTGGCCCGCGAGTTAAGGCAGGCAAGACAGCAGTATGCTAGTGCTACATCAACTCAGGCCGAGCAGACAAACGGTCGAAATGCAGTTCCACCTCCACCTCCTACTCCTCCCGTTCTACAAGTGCCCCCACAGCCAGCCTTATATGGGGACGGCACGATAGTCTTGATCAGAGAGTTCAAGAAAATGAAGCCACCGAGATTCCAAAAGGGTATAGAGCCGATGAAGGCCGAAACGTAGGTGTTAAAAATGGAAAAGTTGTTCGAGATCTTTCCCAGCACCGACACCCAGAATGTGACATTAGCGGCTTTTACACTAGACGACGACGCTCGCAGATGGTGGATGATGGTTTGAGAAAGCAATCCAGATTTGACCTGGACCCGATTTTTAGAGTTGTTTTACACCAAGTATTTTCCCTTAAGTGTTCGAAATCGCAAGGCTACCAAGTTTCAGACTTTGACACAAGGCAGTAGAACAGTAGCTGAATATGACCGTGCCTTTACCGAGTTGGCGAGGTATACACCCCATATGGTCAATGATGAATATATGAAGGCTAGGAAATTCGAAAGTGGGCTTTGTGGACCGATACAAGACCGAGTTAATATGCTCAATATGCCGACTTACGCTGGAGTACTGGACAAAGCCATTCTGGCCGAAGCTAACTTGAACAGATATCAGAGTTCAGGAGAGACCAAAGGAAGAGGCAAAGTTATGACAATCGCCGAGCACAGTTCGGTACCAAGAAGAAAGCAAATGTCGGCAGTTCAAGCAACCCAAGGCAGGAAAGTGGAACTAAGCCGACATGTTCCAGTTATGGGAAGCCACATTTCGGGGTCTGTCGTCGGGCGTCTGGAGCTTGTTACGAATGTGGTGAAATAGGTCATTTTGTGAGGGACTGTCCAAAAAAGACTGTCCGAAGGCAAGGGCTGATGATGGTAAGAAGAATGGGAGTACCTCGAGCTCTGCACAGGGAAATAACATTGGGAGGGCACAAACGAGACAGGGCAGAGTTTTTGCATTGGTACCAGGAGACACTCAGAATGCCGAGACAGTGGTGTCAGGTATGCTCCCAATTTGCTCTCAAAATGCATATGTATTGATTGATTCGGGTTCTACGCATTCATTTATTTCTGCTAAGTTTGCCGAGAAGATTAATGGGAAACTAGAACCCTTTGATTATGTGTTATCTGTGTCTACTCCATCTGGGAGATCTATGAATGTTGCATCCATCTATCGAGCATGTGTTGTTGTGATTGGGAATGTTGAACTATTAGCTGATTTAATGCCATTAGACATAACTCATTTTGATGTTATATTGGGGATGGATTGGTTGGTGGCAAATCACGCATCTATAAATTGTGTTTCTAAACGTGTTACGTTAAAACCCCCAAACCTAGCCGAGGTCACGTTTCAGGGAAAGGGAGTAGTATTCCCACCTTACTTAATTTCATTCATGAAAGCCTATAGGTTGATCTAAAAAGGGTATCAAGGTTATCTGTGTAGCATCTTAAGTAATTTGAATGGAAGTGTTGGGTTAGCCGACGTCCCAGTTGTTAATGAATTCCCTGACGTCTTTCCAAATGATTTGCCTGGTCACTTAGTTGATAGAGAGGTAGAGTTTACTGTTGACATCATATCGGGAACCTAGCCCATCTCCAAAGCACCCTATAGAATGGCCCCCGCCGAGCTTAAGGAATTGAAACTTCAACTACAAGAGTTGCTAGATAAGGGTTTTATTAGGCCGAGCACTTCACCTTGGGGAGCACCCGTCTTGTTTGTTAAGAAGAAGGATGGCACACTTCGTCTTTGTATTGATTACCGGGAACTGAATAAGGTAACCATTAAGAATAAGTACCCGTTACCAAGGATAGATGATTTGTTTGATTAGTTGCAAGGAGAACGAGTC